GAGAGTAAGGTTTTCACCAAAAAAAATTCCTTCTGATGTTTTTCTTCTCCACTCTATTGAGAAAAAGGTGAAAGAATGAATCAGAGACTGTTACTAGCCCGAAACAGGAGATAAATAATAAATACGCTTTTGGATAAATAACTAAAAGCTTGATTCAGTGTGTATTTATCTCTGTTTATGATAACTTACCTCCACTGTAGAAGGGCCAGCTGTGCAAGGTCCCGTTAGCGCCCAATATGCTTTGACTCATACATGTAGTTGAAAGTGCTGCTCCCTGTTTTGCTATACATGTTGCTTTTTTTTGGTTGATTATGGAGCTTCTTCAGATCAACCAAAAAACAGCTCAACCACTAGATAAATAATTTTACTGGCAGAGATATTCCTGCTAATATATGGGAACAGCATGGCTACAGAATTACACCAAGGTGAAATTATAGTAGCATGAAAGTGAATCAGGCCTAAAATCGATAAAGTGTTGTTCCGGGTCACTGCATGACTGCGGTAAGTAGCTTCAGTACTGCACATATCAATCTGTGTAGCTGTAACAATAAGGAAATAATTATCTGAAAGTAGTCTGAGATGTACAGATGGAAAACCTCTCTCTACTGACAGTACAGGTCATTAATATTTGTTGAACCCTAAACCCAAAGAATTCTGTTAAGTGTATATGAAATGAAGGGCCTATTTGCATATGATTGCTAGTCTGAGAAAGAGAACAATCATTCTTAATTCGCTCTGCTATTGCAGTAAAACCTCTTTCTAAGACAGATGAGGAGCAGATATTTCAGAACTGAGGGGGGGAAAAAGCTAGAAATTATAATCCAAAAGAAAGGTAGCAATGTGTTGCAAAAAGATAGATTTAATCTGCAGAAGGTCTATACAGGCCAAGGCTTTCTGCATGAGCAGGAAGTGTATGATAGATGTTCCATATCTCCCCTTCAGGGGAATTTTGGCCAGACTTTTCATAGGTGATGTTGCCTGCTTCATGGATGACTAAAGCCAGCTCTAGTCAGCTTTTGTGAAACGCTTATGATGGAGTATTTTATTGTTGAAAAGCAGTTTCAGCCCTCAAAGTATATTTTACAAAGCAATCAAGTCATTATGGGACTAAGTAAAAATGAAGTGGTTTTTGCCACAGGAGAGAGATAGGAGGGAAGAGGAAATAATTTTCCAGCAGCAAGGAAAACATGTAAACAGCACTTTTGGGAATAGTGTTGATGCTCCTTGAAGAATGTAGTAGCGATTCAAACAGATGACAGAACAAGACTACCTTGTCAGTCTCAGTGATTAAAATGTAGGGTGTCCGTAAGGCGGTGTGTACTTAAGTTACCTTCAGTTATGCCAGTAAGAAGCATACCACAAAGTGAGCCAAATCCGAAATGTAAAAGCACAGAAGACTTACAGTTGTTAAAACGTTTTCTCCAGGAAGACCCATAAACCCTGGTCTTACTGTTGTACTTAGCCTTTCTTAAAAGATAGGGTGGTATAGAAACAGGATTTCTGCCTCTTAGATGATGTCATCTCATTCTTTGAAATTTCTTTCTTCATACAGTTAGTAAGGGATGAGAATGAGTGGGTCTTCAGGTAAAGATCCAACTATTTTAGTGCATTATTTCAGTCTTAATTAATTGGATTTCTAGCATAAATTAGAAATACTCCTTTCACTTCACTGAACATACAGCAGTTTTCACTGTTAAAAGGTGTGAGACACAGTATTATATTTTGGTCAGAAATCTGTGGAAATAAAAAGAAAGAATAAAGCCTTTTTCTTTTTCTCAGTAGCTTACTGATACCATGTAGACATGGTGAGACAGAGATTTCCCCAAACAATTTTTTCCTTTATTGGCTAACTTAGTTTACCCAAAATTAGGAAAAATAGATTTTCCAATATAAAGCACCAACTCTTCGTTTATTAAATAAAACTGTGCATCTGATAAAGATGTACAGTAAGGAAATTTAGTAGGGTGTAAGAAAATAGAGTATGTTTTAGACTTCAGCTGTGACTGTATGCTGCTACTTTGGGATTTAACATGGCTGCAAATTAAAAAAAAAAAAAAAAAAAAAACTAAAGGCTTCATACCTTTTTTGGCAGGAAAGAGGGCAGCTGCTGTGGTCTGAGACTTCTGTTTTATTACTTTACACATCTTCCTGAAACTCAAAATAATGCTATGCTGGTTAGTAGGTGTTTAAAAGAACATCATGCTGCAGAAATTTGACCCCTAATTTGAGCTACACAATAATTCTGTTCGGGAGTAGGGAGAGAATCTTGGTGTTTTTTTGTATTTCATGTGTGTCACTGAAAATGTGCCATAGTAAATAAAAGCTCTTTTTAAAATGTGATAAGTTCTGTGTTCTGTTGGCTTTTGTTTGTTTTGCAATTAACAATATCGAAGTGTTATTCATATAGATTTCAGTTATGTAGTCCATCTTTTCTTGCTTGGTTTTTTCTCTTTTCTCTGTAGATTTGGGGGGAGGGGGGTTAGTTTAGGTTTTTTCAATCACTCTGTATAATTGACTCTAGATAGATTCTTAAATTTAGGTTAATTACATTATATACATATTACTTACATTAGTTCATGTTACATTTGTCCTCTTCACCCATCTTAAGATAGCTTCCTCTCAGTTCAGCTACATTGTCCATTTTATTGTGTGACTGAGAAAAGAGCCAAGGTCCTGAAAATACAGGAGGTGGTGGTGATCCAGCACCTGAATACAGCATAGTGGTGATCCATCAGCACTTGTACACCAAATATTGTGATATGTGATCTTTGGATTATGCCCCATAGCCATCAGGTATACATCTCAAAGTAAGTTTCATGTTAGTAAGTTTCATACAGAAAATTCTGAAAAGAAGAAATGCTAGTTGAAGGAGGGAAAGGAGACCACCTAGGAGCTTAGAAATAAAGAGCTTTACCCAGGAAGTAGAAGATTCAGGCTAGTTTCTTCTTAGCCTTGAGGGAGTTGAATTCACATCTATTTTCCAAAGACTGAAATTGCTTCCAAATCTGCTTGATTGTATCTGAAGCACAGCATGAAAGAGATACCATAACTCTAGCAAAGTGGGAAAAGCCTAGGTTTCTAACACCCATTTTGTATTTACAGAATCTTTAAGTAAACTACATAGGCAGGTATGTGCCTTGGAGCAGGTAACAGAATGCTTCTATGGTTGATTTAGAAAAATGTAAACTGCAAAAGAACAGCAAACAATACCATTAATTCTACTTAAATTATAGCTTCATATACTCAAATAATGTTCCAGAGTTGCGATGATACACGTTTTTGTAACAAGCGATGGTTTGAGAAAGACAATTCTTTGGTTTTTGCTTGCAGAGAAAGAGGAAGACTCATGTTAGAAAACTTCAGTTTTTGCAAACTAAGAGGTTCTTAGGAACACTAAATATGTAGAAAGCTGGCAGTGAGGTATGTGGGGATGAGAAAAATCTTTCATTTAGAGATAAGTGAACTGATATCCAGTATTTATATTGATGATATGACATACTAACACATGCTTCTGTTTATCAGAAGAAAGTGTACTATTGGCTATATCTCCAAATATTAAATATTTTGTATACCTAGTCCAAATAGCATGCTAGTTTTAGAAATCTATCTTAAATAGTAGTGCATGATAAAGCATGAATGGACGTTTAGTCACGTATATATCTTGCTTAGAACTATTGCACTTGTTCTGGGCAGTTTGAGTTAAAAATCAGCGCCACATTCTCCAGAAGAAGTGTGTTTCACACCTTTTGAGATTTCAAAATCTTCGTAGTCTGACATTAGTTGATATAGTCACCGTTTTTTCTGAATCATGCAAAACACAATGCAAAAATAGCTTTCAGTAGCAGCATGTAAAGTGGGCTTTCCCATATCAAGGACAGAGAATCCCTTGTGTTTACAAGCATGGTGGGAAGGAACTAGACAAGAATTAAATATTGCAAGCATAGCTTTGAAAGCCGTTGAACCTCAGCATCCAGGAAAACATTCAAATCAAAAGTGTGTGATTTTTTTTTTTAATTATTTCTCTCTTTTGCAGAATATTTAAGTATGACTGTTCTAAAAAAATTGTCTAGGTACAAAGCTGGGAAACTTGGTTTAATTTACTTGCCTTTAGATTTTACAACATCCTACTGGAAAGTAAAGATTAATTTCTTTTAAGTAAACTGTAATATTGATTTTAATTTCTCAGAAATCTTCCTCCCTCCCCTTTTAACCATCCGTTCTTCCGTAAGGACAGTTACAGAGTTGTTATTTCCTAATCATGTCAGGCTCATTGCTAAAAACAGTTAGGCAAGTCATCCTACTCGTAGGAAAAAATCCCCATGACGTTCCTGCCATGCATGTTTTCACTGCTGAGGTCTAACATTGCGTTTTGTGTAATTATATCATTCTTGTGGTATGTTTTTTATCATATAACTCTACAAGAGTAAATATCAGTGGGAAAAGGGTGAATAATACCCTGCCATTGTGTATGGCTTTAGACAAAGTCAGAAAAGTTTATTACCTGTAATAGGTTCCAAAGTTAACTATTGGCTTATACCAAACACTTTTTGCTTTGTGGCTGGTGAAAACTGTCTTCCAATCTCTGATTTACATTCCCTTTGCAAAATTCTAGCCAAAATGTTCATAGCACATTCTTCCTCACCCAGTAAAACAGTAAATATTGATTTCAGAGTATCCTTACTGCACTCCTGCTACAGCCTATGCAATAAAGTTAGGAGTTCATGTCTGTATATACCATTCCCTAATTTTTCATGGCTGAAAATAATAGCTGGAATATGGTTGTTGTGGACTCATTTTATTTTATTTTAATTATTTTTAAACCTTGAGCAGCTGACACATAAGAGACTGCATATTCTTATGGCTCGTTCTTTATATGCTTATCCTGTAGAGATGTGGATATTTTCATGCTTTAGGAAATGCTTCGTTATATGGAATTCATGATGGGGCTGTTTGTTTTTGTGAATGCCATATTAAGCGTATATTTATTTTATCATCTCCAGACCGAAATGAATGCCATGGCATCATCAGGGCTCTTCTTCAAAGATGGCAAAAAACGCATTGATTACATCTTGGTCTACAAAAAGTCAAGTCCACAGGTAGAAAAAAGAAGCACATTTGAGAAGAATTTGAGAGCAGAAGGCTTGATGTTAGAACGAGAGGTGAGTCTTGTAGTTTGTGGTATAAAACAATCTTTGTAATCCTGTCATACTCTGAAATTTTAAAAGATTTCCGATATCTTACAAGCCTTTCTGGTCAGGCTATTTCTTCCTTTATGGTATGTTTTCCATCCAAGGCAGGTTGGGCTGATCTGTCAAAATTTTTCATATTTTTTCATTTGATGTTTATAGAAGTAAACTGACATAAAGCCAGAGTAATTTAATGATAAATTGGCTCGTCCCTCCTCAGAACTGATATAACTCCTCCACATGGCACTCATGAGTCTTCTGAAATCACGGCTGAGATGACCTTGCCCATTATAATGTTGCAGTCTCAGAAAGTGTTCTTTTGTCAACATACTTTCCTGAAGGAATTTCTCTGTTGTTTGGCTAAAGGGGAGTTTGAAGTGATTCACTGCAGAGTTAACTGTTTTAATAGTATTTGTTTAATGCTATTAAATAAACAATAATAATTGTTTAATAGTACCTGTTTAAAATGCTGTGCAGGCACACGCAAGCACACACAGCTAATGGAAAAACCTTTCTATTACTTTAAAATTGTAAAAAAGCAAAATTAAATTTTATGCTTAGTGCAAACTTTCACTGTTAAATCCTTTTTTTTTAATAGATACTAAAAACTTTTCATATTAAGAGGAATTTTAATACTTTCTTAAAATTTGTAAGGGGATAATTTTGCCTGCTTATCTCTGACCTGATACAGTCTGCTTTCCTAAAATTCCGCATTAATATCTTTTCAAGGCTTCTAATATGGTTGCTTATACTAAAGAGATGAATTAATGTTTATATCTGGGTGCTTTGAAATAAATATTAAAATATAATTATATATAATATATATGTATGATTATATATAATTAATTATAATCTTTCAAATGAATATTAAAAAGAAGGTGCTATTTGCATTGACATAAAACAAAATATAGAGAATTATGTCTTAGGTTGCGTTTTCTTTTCCATGCTCCTGATGTGCAGTCGTTTGTATGTTGGTCTGTACTGCAGTGTGGTGGATTTTCAGGAATTTTCAGCTGCCTTCTCTGAAATGATGGACAAATACCTTATTTGTTCTTCTAGAACCATTTCAGAAAAAAATATTAAATTGCTGTTCTTGTGATTGGGCTATTGGTATTGACAGTATTAGTATAAATAAATCAGAGAAGAGAGCCGTGAATTTTTGTTGTTTCATGAATTATTTACGAAACAGACTTAAGTTTAGTCCATTCTGAAGCAAGTTCCTATACATCATGTGTCTTTCATCCTGATTTATATTCTTTGACTCAGCAGAATTAGCTTCTGTGTTCAGTGTTAATGCAATCGGGTTTTAACTGTTTTAAAGTCATTCTGGCAAGTATTAGTTGACAATATAGCATGTTGAGTATTCATAAATAATTGACAGTGTTTTCAAATTTGAACTTAAGGTTTTTAAAAATTGTTTGAAGCCTAAGGGGAAAAAAAAAAAGATTTCAGGGCGTTTATTGAAATCAGAACCCTTTCAACTGGACTAATTCATAACTGCTGACATTTTAGAAAAAAAATTTTTTATAAGTTCAGAATTCCAGTTATAGTTCAGAGAATTATCCTAGGTATGAAGAGTTTTAAATCTGGCATATCTTGATGCACCATTGTCTTCCAGTAGCATTTTGTTCCCCACATCTTTTGAGAAAAAGAAAATATTAGAAGCAGTATTATAAAAGTATGAAATGACTTAATGAAGTTGTTAGATGGTGGATATTTTAAATGCCATTAACTCTTTCAGTAAAGCTTTTTTTATCTTTTGTTACCAAACCTTGCATTACTCCAGTGTTTTGGGAGGCTTTAATCAGATTCAACTCATCCAAAATTTTTACTTATAAAACCCAAGCAAATACATCTGGGAAAATAATTTGAGGTTGAAGTAGAAACGATAATTATAGGAACCTGTAATGCTTAAAGTCTTGAGTTTTATGTGCAAATCAATACATGATAGAGAACACTTGGGGCAAGAAATATCTAAATTCATAGAGATCACATTTGTAAATTTATACCAGATATCACAATTGCTTAACCATTCTATAAATGTACTACTCTGGCAAAGTGGGACCTACAGCCTTCTTTTAGCTGTTCCTATATCTCCAGCACCTGAGCGCCATTCTCCTTAAGTAGGAGTCACATGGAATGATCTGGAAACTGCGGTGATTTTGAGGGATTGTAGAATGAACTCATTTAATCCATGGCAAAAAGTACTGCATAGGGCCTTTTGTCCTTCTGCTGCAGTCATAAGCAAAGATCTGTCCTACAAAATACCTTTTGACAGTTGCTAGTATCTCAGGGTTTGAGGGGAAAAGAGTTATTAATTTTGGCTTAGCGCACTTAGTGTTTTCAGACCTGCATGGGCACTTTGGGCCTAAAAGCAGAACTTAGAACTTGACACTTTTAGAAACCTGAAGGCCACAGGGAACTGATTTATTAATATATATTTATTTGTTACTACTTATTGCAGCCAGCTGTTACAAGCAGCGATATCATGTTTGTTAAAATTCACTGTCCATGGGAGACGTTGTGCAAATATGCAGAAAGAATGAACATCAGGATGCCTTTCAGGTATTGTGGAAACTATTTTAAGAAACTTATAATTCAATGCTTGATATTAAACATATATTACTTACCTTAAGGCTAAAATGCAGTCCTCTTATTGTATTGTGCCAGTCACGTTGTATAGTTAATTTAAGAAGATGATAAGGAGAGAGGAGAGGAGAAACAAAAAATACTGATCTTTTCACATTTACCTGTAGTATTTTGTTTTCAAACTTAATTCCAAGTTAAATCAAGTATATACCTGTGGAACCTGCTGTTAGTAGTTCACGTGCCATTTTGGATCTCTGTGACAGTGTTTCTGATATTAGGCTTCTGAGGTGAAGTGTTCTCCATCGTAACAGGGTGGTATTTCTGAAGTCTTATCCAAAGGCCAGTGAAATGACAGAAATATCTGATATCTTATGTGTCTCCCATATAACACATAGTGGCATACTTTGGAGAAAATGAGATTTCTTCAGTTCTTGGTCCTTCGCTTTCCTTTTGTAGTTAATGAACTCCTGAACTGAGTTATTTGTGTACTAAACACCCATTATTTACAAACCATATCATATCTCTTTTTGCAGTAGACAAATTGTAGACAATTTATTATCTCCTGTAATATTGCGTTTTTTTTCATGATATGAAAAAATCAGGAGATAACCTCCCTTTTCCACTCCAACAATTTTATTTTTGCAGGGGAAGAAGAGCTTTTTTGTTCACTTTCAACCTCATCAGGAGTTCAACCAGGAATCAGATGCCAAAGCTGTGTGTGACTTGTGGAGAGTAACCTTACAGCACTCCTTACTCACTTAAATTGTCAAGAGCTCTCTTTCACGTCCCTGCTGATTTCAGCTATAACAGTGCAGCTCTTTCACTGGTCCTAAGCCAGAAGCTTAGTCATTCAGAAGCATCCGTAGCTCAAAATCAGTTTTAAATACTCACTTCTATCCTGAGTTTCCATGTCATCCCATTAAACCTTCAAATTCCTTTCCATAAAAAGTATTTTCTGTAACAGTCGTATCCTGTATGTTCAAGACTATAATTTTACTTACTGTATGCTTACTATAGTGCCATTTGAGCTTTTCTGGTTTGAACAATTCATTGTCCACATTTTAAATATAGAAGAGTTTGTGTACATGTTTATACACATATGCATAAGCATTCTAAATTCCAATTCCAAAAATAATTCTGTGCTACTTTGATGCTTGAAGTCACAACATTAAGTTAGGTTTTAGCAGTGGTTTGAATTCTTCATCATTTTAGTAACTTCACAGATCAATAATTCGTTTCAGGTAAAACTGGCCAACATTTGCAACTTTTGCAGAAGAAATGACAACTTTTCATTTTAAGTAGGTTCCCCCTTATGATAAGAACTGATGATAATGTGACACTAACTTCCAAGACTCGGTTTTAAAGTGCGTATTTATGGAGTGACTGATTCACACAAAAGATAATGTACACTAAAGTACTACAGGATTCTGCCTGTATTCTACATGAGAAGAGCAAGCTCTTAATAACTTTCCTATGAATACAAAAGTTCCTTTTTGGAGAGTATTGAACTTTTTAGATTCCACTATAAAACTTGTAAAATGTGGAGAAAAAAAAATATTTTTTTCATGTGACTATTGCAAAGATTTAGGTCCTGTTATAAGTGTTTGTTTTGTGAAAGGGTTTGCCTCATTAGCAGAATCATTCATATCATAATTTACGTTTATAGAAAAGCCTATATACCTATCAATATCAATGTCTGTTGAAAAGCATTGATATTGATGGGTATCAAGGTCTTTTGATAGCAGTAGGAATTGATATCAATAGGCATTGATACTGATAGGTATCTGTGCCTATCTGTGGCCTACCAATATCAATAGGTATTGAGAAAGTAATAACATCTTCTGAAGTCTTCTCTGATAAGCTAGAGTAAGAAACATAGAGCAATATAACAGTAAACATTTTTGGGAATAATCGCCTGTCTGTTCACTGACTAAGCTCATGCTCATTTTATGAGACAACGTTTTAGGATGTATGTTAAGGTGGATCTTTTAGAATCAAGCAGTCTATACCTGATAATCAATTCAAGCGCAAAGTATTCATTAACTTGTCTTGAAGTTTGACTCATAAATATTTGCCATAAGTGTAAATATCTGAGCCCATCTTATACTATCTCAATGTAACATTTTTTTTCTAATCTTTAATATTCTCTTGTCTAACAGCTAATAAGCTTTTGGCTGTTTTTGCTGTCTTGCTTAAATCTTTCTTAATCAAAAGCAAATGATAAAAGATGTTTGCTTGCAAATGCAAGCTGGTATATTGATACCTTTATTTAAGCCTAATTATGTGATTAGTTATTTTGTTTGGAAACCATTCAAAATCATTAACATTTGTTATATTATTAAGTGACATGTAAAGATTTCTCTCTTTTACCAATGTATTTGATCCATGTTTCTTTGTTTCTGGGCTACCTCTTCAGCTGGCTTTTACCCCACCCATTTCAGATACACAACAAGTAGATAAAAATGCTAAATTGTACTGCTCCATTCATTTGGGAGCTTTACTGTAGAGTGAAAAACGTTGTCTTGGCAGGAAAAGAGTTCAGCCCAGCTCTACCTCCCTAATAGGACTGTGAGAAATATAAAATCTCTGGCGACTTCTTTTTCTCTTTAAAAAGAGATTTTAATAGGAATGAAAATATAATTGCAAATTAAGACTGAATGTTTCAAATAGGCTATTTCTTTTATTTCTATACTACTTTTAAATAAAAGTAAACACAATAGTTTTATTTTGAGCATGGAGTGGACACACCAGATGAGAACAAAAGTCCATCTTGCTCAGAATCCTGTCTTTGTCTGCAGCCATTCTGAAAAAGTTCAGTACAGAAGCGGAGCACATTTAGAGCACTGCTTCACGATGCCTTCTCTGTTGCCTGAGGTCTTTGGTTTCTAGGATTCCTGAGACAGAAGTCTTATCTTCATCTTTGTTTTAATTAGCCCCTGATGAACTTCACATGGATGGAAAAACAGCCCTGTACAGTTTTGTCATGACATTCTGTAATAACACATTTTATAAGTTAATTTTATGCTCTGTAGAAAGCACCGCTTTTTGTTTGCTTTAAATCTTGAACATTCTTGTTTAAATCATACTTTTCTAAACTACATGACATATATTATTTTCCTGAGATAACTACATTTTTCATTTAGTGGAGAGATGATGCTCAAATCATGCAATTATCTCATAATACAATGATCTAGCGTTGTTACTTCCCAGGAATAGATTATTTCTTCTGGTCCTTATCTGATTTATCAGTGGCTTTTAACTGTCCATTTTTAATGTGTAACTGAGGAAGAGAGATTTAACTTTCCCTGCAGCCCTTTAATTGCGGAGCGTAAGAGTTTGCTCTTATTCTCTTGCCCACTGCTGCAAACTTTCAGCTATGATCATTGAAATACCAAATGCCGACATCATGTATGAATAACACATAGGGAATAAGTATCCTGAATTAAAATCTTACTTTTTAGGTTCCTTTTACTCAGTCCAGGAATCTAAACAAACTCAATATTATTATTACACAGATTCAGAAAAATTTTTCTGTTACTGAAAAGGAACTTTTTTCCTTCTTGCCCAAGGGACTATCCAGCATCTCAGAACTCGGTTTTAGTGTGGCATCATACCTAAACATATTGCCAGATATATAATATGCATTATTTATGTAATATAATATGGAATCTTAGTATTAAAAGTAAAAAGGGTTTTTTTATTGTGTTTAAAAAGATTTTTTGTGGTAATCACTGTTATCTTCTGGATGCTTTCAGCTATGATTTCTTATTTTAGCACCAACCTGGGTGGTGGCTTATTTACCCTTTTTTAATGATCTGTAGAGTTTTTTATTAAAAATAAATATGTATTCTATCAGTTAAAGTGAAGCTTTATGATTTATTTCTGAAAGTCAGACAAAAGGTTCATTTTATCTGTGTCTACAAGTATCCCTTGTGAAACATAAATTATCACTGTGTGCAATGAATTAATTAGGTGTATCTGTAGCTTAGCTGGACTCCATGTGTGCAAAACAGCTAAGGATAGTTAAGGTAATGAAGGAAGCTTTTTTTTTTTTTTTTTTCAAAACTAATGTCTCAAAATCCTTTAATAATTCTTCATTGCTTTCTTTGCAATTCTGCCTAGTACTATCAAGTCTCAGGCTGCCAGCAAGCTACTGATTAGTAGATACAGAGTTTTTCCTGTGGTCATGTATTTTCTAGGCTATATTTCCTTCCCATTCTTTTTAAGGTACTCATTACATTATTACTTTAATGTACCTTAATGAATCTTGAATACTGTCCAGATAGTTAACAAGATCCACAACTGCCTATATATGCGTTCTTCTTTCCATGATTCTACGTAAAGAAGTTGCCACCTGAGGGAGACTTCATTTACTTAGGATCCAGGGTTGAAGTACTATTTTGGGTGTTAGAATGAAGAGGACAAAAATTAAACATTGACTGAAAAACAATGTTAATTCTTTATATTGAAATATCTAAATAAGCTTGTTTTAATTTCTCATAAAAAATTAACCATGCAGAAGTAGAAAGGATTTAGGCAAATTTAAGTACAAGATGAGCTAAGTGAGGAACAAAGCCCCTGGTGCTGTGGCCACCACTAACTCCAGATGAGTGCCACGATAAAGATACAGATATCCTGAGGAATGTGAGGGATCTAGGCCTCCAAAATTTGTATAGCTAAAATGCAATGTGAAATGATAGAGGGAGGCAAGACTGAAACAAGACATGCAGAAACTGAATTGTAACAAATATGCTTCTATGGCTTTGAAAGTAACTGTTCTCTGGAATAGTTCACTGGACTTCACTGAAAATTTCTGCTCTTGTTTCTTTGAAGTTACTCTGACCAGTGAAGAGTAGAGAGAAAAGAACTATAATATAGAAGTGATTTGTTTCAGGTAATGCTCTTGGATTTTTAGGGCCATGTAATGCTCTTCAGCTGCATGCAAAACGTCAAGGGAAATTGATGAGATACTACAGAGGATGATGATAGTGCATACAGTATCTAATAGCATTAAGTATTCACAGTATTTAATACGTAGAGTACACATGGTATTTAGTAGCATGGAAGCCTCTAGTAATTCTTCTAATATGAGTTTATGGAATAAAAAATGCTAAGACAGATCACATGACATGAGTTCAAATGCTGCCACATTAGTATTCTATCTAATGGGTTTCTTGTGAATGAAGTAGTGATTGGGTAGGTATAAATTCAATCAAAAATTAAAATTCCAGTCAGGAACAATTTTCAAACTTGAAAATATGTGAAATCATAGCATTTTAATGACTTACTGTATTTCAATTGCCTTTTTAAAATGTTTTTTTAACCTTTCTGCCTATGAAAATACGTGTTATAAAATGTCCAGTGTTCTTTTATAATGCATGTATGCTTTTCAACTGTCTCTTACTTGATTATTCTCAGCTGGTTTTTGCTATTCTTTCAGGAAAAAATGTTATTACACTGACTGGAGGAGCAAAACCATGGGCAGGTTGGTGGGTGATGTGCAGCTTCTAATTTTGTCAAATAGTCACCCTGCTAAAGAAAATCCATTTTTGCAGTTGTAAATTTATCCAAGAAACTTGGAAATTAGCTTTTTTCCCTGAAAACCCAAAATACATTAATTCAAAGTGCTAAAATATTCAGCTGTAATAAGATGCAGCTTTGCCAGTTCTTATTTTAGAAATGCAAAAATTTTCATGCCAGGAAACAAAAATGGCCTTGTCCTGGCAGCAGATTTAAGAGTGGAGCCATCTCTATAGTTACATCTGCTGTTACTAAGACATATATCTTTAGTGTGCAAGATACTGTTGAGTACGTCATGTTTTATAGTCTAAACTCTGGTAATCAGCTATTTGCTTACAAATACAAAATGTAACTTCTCTCATGTGTGTCCTGTTGATCAGGACTAAACCAATGACCCATGTTGAAGTCTATTTTGAATTTTTATTTGATAACTGATGGAATAACTTGTATATTGCAGTGAAACATCTTTAACTCTCTAGGATTTAATGATATTGCATATCTAATAGATTCTTCAGTCTGCCATTAATATGAATATTTGAAAAGCATTCAGTTATTGCATAAGTGCCCAAAGAGCTGGGAATCTCCAGGATTTTATCCAGGATGGCATGAGAGGGCAAATAGAGGCAAACATATGCAAACCTCACCTCTGGCTGCTGCCCTTATTACTGCTTTTGTCAGCCAGGAGAAGTGGTAGATGAGGCCAGAGGCAACAGCAGCAGGCAAAAGAAGCAGAGGAATAAGGGAGCTAGAAAGCAGGGGGAACTGTGAGCTGTGATTGCTCCCTGTTGCTGTGGTAAAACATAATGATGTTGTGTAAATCCTAATTACCTGTGGAAGAGATATGAAAATTTCTACATGAGGGAAATCTTCTGGAACAGTTTTCTATTGCAGGTTTTCTTGAGATGAATCTTGAGATGAGATTACATTTGACTTAAATTCTCCTGTTACTACTTTAGATGATCAAGAGCTCTCATCATTTCTCGGGAACAATTTATATAGTCTCATGATACCAGTTTGCAAGATTAGTGCAAGTAGACCAAAAACTGCTGAGCAGTAAAGTGAGAAAACTTTGTGTACATACACTAACAAAATATATTAAAGTAAAATAACCTATAGCATAAATTTACAACTGCATTTTCCCCCTTCCCAGTCATTCACTTGCTCCATTTTCATGTGTGTTATGAAAGATGTAAGTGGTGGGCATTGTAATGCAAAGGCAAAATAACAGAGCTTTACTGCAAAATGGTCTTATTTTATCTGCAGTCCATCTGCTGAGTCCTTGATATTAAATGCATTTATTTTCCTTATTTAGAAGCACAGGTGTCTGAAATATGCAAATGAAATCACACAATACCTGTGAAAGAAGTAAAAAAATACTTTTAGTGCCAGATTAATAGTTTTTGCATTTGCAACAAATGCTGTTACCTGTAATTTACTTTGCGAGACTTTGAAGATCATTATTTTTCTGAATGTTTTGTCTAGTACTTTAGAGTCCAGTGCACTAAGTAATAGGGTGGAAAAGAAGCTATATCTAAATATGCAAGCTTAACTCCAAAATTGCTAACATACACATCTCATCATTCCAGCTTGTACTATTGTCTTTGTTTCTTTGGGTTTTTTAATAACTTCTCATACTTCTTTGTAATTTAGCAAATATTTCATTAATAATTCTAAATTAGTAAGTGGAGTATATAAGAAGTAGGATAAAGTATATAAGTTAGAATAAAAAACTATATTAAAAACATTGTATATCAAAGGTAACATTTTTAATGAATTTCTATAATTTAAGAATATGTGGTAACATTAGTATATTAGACCCCGTTGTGACATGTACGCTTCTTTGAATTTATTGACATGTTTATGTGGTAGAAGTATATAGCCACAGATGTCCTTAAATAAGCCTGCAAAGGACTATTAGGAATATGAAAAACAGCTTGAAGGTAAATGCAATGCTTATGGTTTTCATATAATGTGTCATTCACATGAGGTATCTGCGTGGTAACTCTCTGCCTATTTATTTATTTATTTACATATCTTAAAAAAAAAACCTTAAAAATTGTGCCCAATACTGTGAAACTTGAATTCCATTCATATGGCCACACTGCAGAAATAATTGTGTTGCCCTCCTTAAAGAGCAATATTTGAAAAGCCTTCAACAAATCTGTTCAAAGGCAAGGAGATATCTGAAAGTGGGACATACAAGTAAGTAAGGTATGTATCAAAAATTGTCTCAACTCTTTCAGATTTAAGGATGAATAATCTAATGATTCAATCTTGTGTCTGCTTTATCAGACACGCTGATTTCATTTTTCTTTAAGAATGACATTGAGGAAAACAAAATTAAAAATTAGCTGTTTCAGTATGCAGCTTTCATGTGCCCACTGAGATGTTGAAATAAATTTATGATTATAAGGACAAAAAAGAGTTTGTTGAGTAACTCAACTGCAATAACTTCCTTTGCAAAAAAAAACTTTTAAAACATTTTAGATTTCAATCTGCACACTGAAATCAAATTATTAATGTCCTTCTGTTGAATGAACATAGTAGCATTTTTGTATATTTGGTTACGGAGAAGTTGTAACGTTTGTCCATTTATTAAATCTGTCAACCCATAAGTGCATTTCTAACTGCAAAGCATAGTTCGGGGCCCATGACATATGTTTGACAGTTCTGGCCAGTCTTGTGTATCTTTGTCAGTGTATGAGAAGCAAACACACAGCAAACTAATGGCTGGTGATTGCTGTCAAAAATATCTAATATGACCTGTGGCTATTGTCTAGCATCTCATTCCGTGATAACTATGGAGTCTGATCAAATAATTTCAATAGCTGTTTTACAAGGGGAAATTAATTGATCATTTAGGTCAATGTCGTTAAAGAATGAAAGGCTGTGAGGAAGAGCTAGGGTGACTGAAGATGCACCAATTCTGCATATTACAATTAGCATTGTAATATGTAATATCAAGCTGCCTTGGCTACTGGAAACTAATGGCACAGAGCACAGAGTTACCCTATAACAAGTTATGGTAATTCTCGGTGCACCCCATTCACCTGTATTTGCATATGACTGTAGTCTGCTTAGTAAACATAACCCACAAGGATTTTTGGACTGACAGGTCTGTCACAAAGACCAAGCAAACAAACGCAACTTAATAGTACAGTTAACCTTGCAAGTGCAATTAAATTGGAGATTTTGGAGAACTTTATTAACTTAGACAAGCATCAAGAGTTGGGCAAAGCTGAAATTGGAGGCATCTTCATAAAATATTAACTTTTATGTCTAGGAATAAAATGTATATGCATTAAAAAGTAACATCTCATTGTCCAAGGTGCTTAAAGTTACAACAGTGCCAGCGGGAGTGACTTCAGTAAGAGCTTAGCTAAAGGAGCAACCAAAGTCTTTCAGCACTGTTCCACTGGGACTTTTCAATCACGTTGCATGAACTCCTGATTTCATGAGGGATTTCATGAGACCAAATCCTTTTGTTTTTAGTCTTATTGAATAGACTAAGCTGAGTAGATCGAGTCAGGAATCCTTATGACCTAAAAAAAAAAAAAAAAAAGTATTTGACCTAGAAAGCCACTCTAATTGAATAAGCATGCTAATATGTTGTCCTGTGGTTTAGTCATAGATTGTATGGAATTTATTATCCCTTAGAACGAAAGCTCCAGAAGTTTCTTTTCTAACTGTAAAACATGAGCCAAGAAAAGAGGTTTATTTTGCTGGGTTATTTTTGTGCAAGGAGAGATGTACTTTTCAGCTGAAATATTCTGTGCCATCTGAAGATACTAAGCTTTGGAGTGCTCAAGTGATGTAATGAAAAAGCAATCACATCTTAAATAAAAAGCCTTTTTACTTCAGAAGAAAAATCACAAATGTAATATGGCTGTTATTTTTAATTTATTCCAATGTTCTTCATTACTTTGCATGTTAAAAAGAGCAGATATGAATATTTTTAAAAGGGATAATTTCTTTAAGTAAGAATCATCTACTAGTTTTTTAGATTTTTGGAGGGAAAATATAATTAAGGCTTTTTATATAACCAACTCTAAAAGAATATCTTCTAAAAAAATCAGATGCATTGTTTTTCTTTTTCTTACATGTCTGTTTTCTTTATAAAAGAAAAGCCTGCTTTGTACCTTTTAAAGAAATGAGCATCTGAACAGAGAAAAATGAAGAGAATAAAATGAAAACTTTATACTTATACACACTGTGTAAAACTTGGTTCTGTGAGAGCTTCCTCTGGAACCAATAAGATAACCAACTCACAGGATAAAATATTATTTGAACAAAGGAGTCACTTAAAGGATGCAGTTTTCTCCGCTTCAACTTTCTGAACAAAGTTATATTCTTTGGCTCATAAAGCTTAGTATCAAAGAGTTGTGTCCCTTAGGTGCAGTACCAGTTAAATACAGATTGTGTATCAACACCTTGCTAACACTCAGTAAAAAGAAAATCTTGATAATTTTGTATTGCGTGCTACCCTCAGTTGCTGTAGGAACCGAGCGTAACTCATACAGTCAGCCTTTCCGTTTTGCTTCCTGTTTAGATATGTCTGTGCTTAGTTCCGTGTTACCAAAGAGTACGCTTGCAAGATTTATCAGTACTATTTCATAGAAGACTTTTTTTCTTTGCTGATTTGTAGCTTAAAAAAAGACAATGCAATTGAACTAAAATTTTCATTATTCTAAGTTTTATCCTGGATCATCCTTTAACACTAAAAAATGCTGAAAATAAGATCTTATAGCGCAGAAAACTTAATACCATGTTGCTCATATTGTGTCAGCTGAAATAATCTCAGAGATCATGGTGATTCTACTTTTTCTATTTCATTTCAGGATTACTTATAAATGCAAAGGAAATGTAAAATTCTGATCCCACATTTGGCTTAGATTTCTTTCTGATACGATGCTAAATAGAGGTAGAATTTTATTGGGGTGGTGGTGGTGGTGTTGTTAATATTGAGAGGTATGTTTTCACAGAAGTGGCTTTCTTGTCCGGGTGCTACTTACTGTGTTATCCCTTATTCCTCTTAATTATGAAGTGCATATCTGGGCTTCTGCTTAACATCGACAAGTATTCACTTCAGATAAAAATCTCATACTTGGGTGTTAGGCATTTTGCAGAGATAAGATATGTATATTTATATATCTTGCATACACATTCAGAAAGGCCTAATCACACTAAAAATATTCTATAGGGAATGGTTTTCTAAAATCTAGGGTTTTTTTCTGAGTCTCTGACATGCTTCCGATGTCATAATATAGCGTTCTTTTAATATGAGGCTTAGTCCATAAATATCCACCTTTCATTGCAGTTCAATACGAGAAAAATATAGGTCTTCGAGGGGTGCCAAACTGAAGTAATAGGAAGGTAAATTCTAGCATTCCCTGTAAAGTTAACTACACTACACTAGATTTTTCCCTCTATAAAACCTGTCCTGAGATAGTATTTAGGCATATTGGCAGTGGAAGAAAGCTCTGAATGTTAATATATAATATATAGATGGATAAAGATACAAAAATTATGTTCTTGTGCATTATAGTATTAATTTTTAGTAAACTGCAGAAAACTTCATCTAGTTTTTGTCTAAAACTGTATGACAGTTTGTGTATAAAGCATCCTTTATTATATATATGGGTAGACTTGTTTTCCAAGGTAATATCAGCCCATGGATTTTGATGAAAATTTTGCAGGGGAAGATTTTGTTGAAGCTGATAGTAATTTGGTTCAGAAAATTTGGCTCTGAGTAGTCTTTTATTTACTAAAAAAAATAAAATAAAGACTTTAGTGTCCAAGTTGCCAGGGAAGGGAGGAGGAGTTGCACTTACACTGTCCTGTGGAGCTAGAGTAATTAGATTCATTCTTGAGTAAGGCCTAAGTGTCCACAGTTCTGCCAAATGAGCTGCCTTGGAAAATGATTTTGTGACTTAATTAAAAAAAAAATCATTAACAGTGTATTTCTATTGTCTCCATATTTTTTTTCCTGGACTCAATACTGCAATACCATCTGAAACCATAATCTCACTAACTACCGGTTAAGTTGTGCTTGAGTAAAGTATACAAGATCAGATCATGAATCATCACCCTTAATTTTACTTTTTAACTCCTTATTTTCTATTGGTTACTTAATGAGGAAAATTCCTGCTTTCATTTCATTTATAGTGCAATGTTACTAAGTGTGCACTGATGGAAGTAGAAACAACAATGCAGGTGAGAGCATGTAAATATAATTTCTCTTTGTCTCAGTTTGCAGAGGAATATGAGAGAGCTGAAAAGTTGGTTGCCCAGAAATCCAATGAAGCTTGATAAGGAGGCCCTACCTGATCTCGAGGAAACAGATTGCTACACAGCACCCTTTAGCCGTGCACGCATACACCAGTAAGTGTTGGAACATGAAATGCAGCACCAGAGCCCACAAGGATTTTTCATTCTCTTGCTTCTCAGCCATACAAGCCACTATTAACAGATGGTCACTGGCAAATACCCAGTGTCATATTTTGTATTTTCTATTGGTTTTCTTTTAAAGAACAAAATCTGCTCTCTGTTACTCAGTAGTTGACAGTCTCTCAGTAGGATAGTCAAACATTTCATTGAAAAAAGAACACAGCCTTTTTGGTTAAGAAGTTTTTCTTTCTATTACATTACAAAATGCAAATAGTTACTCGAGTTTGCTTTGCTTAATTACAGATTTTACTTAGACAAAACCTGAGACATCTGCTGAAGTTGGGAAAACCTAGAAGCAAGCTAAAAACAGTGACACTGGCTTTTTAACAAATGCACATTTTTAAAACACTTCTTTTTTGCTCTGAAAGTATAAATATATACATTGAAGAACAGCTTTATGATATGTATGTGTTCAGATCAGCATGTTGATGATGATGTAGTTGAACCGTGATGTAATTTTCTTTAAGGACCAAAACAGTAAAAGACTTGAAAATGTTAATGACCTGACTAGCTTGGAAATATGGAGTAATTGCATTATAATCTCAATTTTGTCGGTATTTAACTATACTGCATTTGGTCAGTCATTTGTTTTTGGTGTTACGTCTCAACCAGCTCAGCTGAAATTATGAACTGTAGTAGTGTTTCCTTTGACACAAATGAGTCGGCAAAAGCTCCTACATGTCAGATTTTTGGCTTCTAGAATCTGGAGCCATCTGTGAAAGGATGCTTTATTTGGCTCCATCCGGAGATTCTCTAAGGAAGGGGGTTGTGAAGCTGCTACTCAAGTGTCTGGTGCATGGAGATTTTTTTTTTCCTTGCTATATAGCAGTCCTAATAATTCTTTGACATAGACATATGCTGAATTCATCAGTAACATGAGTTTGAGGATGGTCACTGCTTCTGAAGTAGTCTGATTTGTATTTTAGATTTATATCCAAAACAGAAATGGTCTAGATGTTGGAAAAAATTTAGTTTTAGTTGCTTTATTTTCCTCACAATAAATATTTATCCTGGCACCTGAGATAGGATGTAAGATCTCACATCTTATATCTCCAGGGAAGTAAGATCTTACATCTTGTGCACTGACCCGTAAGTGTAAAGATACAGTAAATCACTCTAAGAAGAAAGTAAAGAAAGTACTGAGCAGTTTTGTTTCAACATCTGTGCATTGTTTTGCATATTAAAAGACATTAATTTTTTTAATAGTTTTACAATAAACAATAAAGACAGCTTCTTCAGCAACTCCACAAGAAGTAGAATAGTGCATCATATGCTACAGAGAACAAAGTATGAAGATGGAAAATCCAAAATGGGTGAGAATACTGTATTTTTTTCTAAACTTGAAGCTATAAACATTTTTTTAGCTTTACTTGCCCGAAAAGCTATCAATTGAGTAAACGAAATAAATATTGCCATCCCCTTGAAATCATTTTATCCAGTTAATAGTAGAGTTGACTGAACATGGCAACCAATTGTTATAAATTCAGTGAAAGACTGACAACGTTTTTCACCTAATATAATATTTTTTAAAATAAATTAGATGGTGATAACTTTGTGTGATAGAGAGCCATAATGAAGGTAACATATACCTCAGCTGAGGAGAGGTTTCTAGGAGTGGCTCTGGAAGTTCTGCTAGTTCACAGACGTTCCAGTCCAATAGAATCAGTCTGAGCTATACTTAGTTTATTTAAGGTCTCCATGCGGCTCAAGAACAGTTGACCTAAAGACAAATTCAGTCTATATTGGAACTCCTATTACAGTACTATTTTTCAGAAGCTCTAATTATTCATATATATTATTCATATATAAGAATTTTTTATATATATATATACATACACACACATACACATTTAAAGCCTTATATTTCTGATGATGGTAGAAATTACAGAAAGTGTTTTGGAGAGAAAAGAAGTAGTAAGAAAAACACGGGAAACAAGGGCTCAAATCCAATCACATTGAAACTGAGAGCAGATTTCATTTTGAGATTAGTTTAGTATAACTTGTATTTTTAGAATATTTAGAATATTTGAATAAACACATCTGAAATCTTTCATGAGAATTTATTTCTTGGGGAAGCTATTGTCTATAGGTATCCTTTCAAAGCCTACTGCATCTTTTTTATTAATGATTATTTATTACTTATTTATTAGGCTGTGGTTTGATCATATAACAGATTTGGCTTTAGGAGTCCTAGGAGCTGAATCAAAATGCTCAAGCCAGTATGGTGTAGAGCAATGATCTTATATGAACTCCTTCAGCTGTGTTATATTAAAAAATAACAACAGGTTAGGTTTAACCCTGCAGGGGTTTTGATGCCTCAAGGTTTGTCTGCCCATACCCCTCTCTCTCCATATGCCAGATCATCTGGTCAGACATAAAATCTGTATCATATACTCTGATTAATGCAACGCAAATGTAACTATGTTCTCACACTTGGTCTGGCATGAGCATCCAGCCTTGAGAGAAAAGTTGCAGACGCTACCTCTGAGGAAGTCCCTCTAATTTGACAGAGCCAGAAACCTGGAGGGATCAGTGAGACCATTGTGAACAGTTGGCTTTCCTTAGAGCTGATTACTGTTGTGTTTAACAGCATCCTGAGCAAGTAATACTAAGTGATATCTCAATGCATAACTTGAAAATTAGCACTGCTTGAAATCAACATATAAAAAATTGATATGGGAGCTAATACGTTTTTTTCTTCTTAGGTATTAATAGATTACTAAATAATGGAACATATGAAGCAGCATTTCCACCACATGAGGTAACCTGTTTATATTTCATATTTAATTTTAAATTTTATTTTATTTTTTATATTAATTTTATATTTTTCTTTGTGTTTAAATTAAAGCTTATGTTAGCATTTTGAGATCCCACTTTCTTTTTAATTTTGTCTTGCAACCTATTTTACTCTGTGATCTGTTCAATCTTTTTTATTTATGGTCTTAATTTAATATTGACTTTTTGACTTTTTCTTATCTAAGACATTGTAATAATATCCTGGAGCAGTTTCATACTGACCTAGAATAATAACATTAATTTTTTTATTAAATGGACATTGCCTGTGGAGTTTTTAAAGAGAACATCAATTGTTCCAATGAGTTGCTTTAAATTATTTCTCCGTGCCATGTACAAAATGTTCTGTTTTTCTAATAGGCTGTGCGGTGGATCAAAGTTGGGGAAACTAGTTAATTATTTCCTGTTTGAGTGCTTTCTATGTAGTTGTGGATAACTTTTACTTGAAAATATCTTCTTCAGTAAATTAAAGGCTACTGAAGAGTGATAACCACTGAAGTAAATGAAAAACTTGTCTTTGACTTCAGGGCTTTTCAGCCAGACCTTGTGTACTGAAAAGACAGGAGCAAGACACGCATCTTCTGTCATCTTACTTAAATGCCTTCGTGCTGTGATCACACAATCAGTAGCTTTGTAATTGCAACTGTGAACTTTGTGGTTGCTTTGGCTGAATATTGTGACTTGATCTTGGCTTTCAGAGACTGGCCTGTGCTTTCCAAATTACTGAGTACGTTTTTATGTGGTATTCATAATTGAATGCAAGGGTATATAGAGAAGGAATGTTTTAGATGAATAATTGAATATCATTGTTAACGCTTCAGTTAGGCATTATTATAGGCATTATAGAGAAAAGTTAGCCATACTACCTGAAAAACCTGTGAAGCTTTCTCTAACTTCAAAACCATGCTCTCATATCCATTTTCATGTATATGTTCCTTTGTTATGTCATAAACTACTGTTTCTAAGTATCAATGTAAGCTTAATGAAATCGTATTATTGAAATATGATTAATTGCTGTTGGACTGGTGCTAAAGGCTTGTGGTTAAACACTCTCAATTTTTTTTAAACAAATAAGCAAACAGGAGTGAAAATTCAGTCCTCGCGGGAACCCTATTAGACTTAAACTCTGTAATGCAAAAAAAGTAGAGAAAGAAGCAGAAGAAAGCAGAAAAGAAAAAAGATTTTAAAAATGAAAACCAGACTAATGCTGTATGCATTGCACTTTATCATTCCGGGGAATGTGAGAATAAGGTGTTGTTCCTTGCCCAGATTTTGCAATTGTATTTATGATTCTTTACTGACATTAGTAGAGTATATTGATGGGAAGTAAATAGAATTGGACCACTCTGCTGGTTTTGCTTTGTTTTGGACTCATTCTTAAGCCAATGGGTAAGCAGATTGTGACAAGTAAACTTTGTTCTTACAATTGCAGGAGATGCTCAAGATTTCAAATAAATGTTTAAAATCTGAATGGATAAACTACTTGAATCTACTAGAGTTAAAAATCTATCAGACTGCTAACTTTGAAGTAATTCTCAGGGGAACTCCGGGCTCTTCTCAAGCCCTGATGTGGCTCACTTGGGATTATTTGGTGAAAGATACTCTTTAGCATAACTAAATAACATAATAAAGTATTATCTAGAGAAATGTGAAGTTTTTTTTGGAAAATGTTGGAATAAAGGAGATGTCGTGCCTCAGATTTGGAATTAGGAATACAAGAAATTCTGCTTAGGATGGGTCTAGTGAATCTGTGTGTTACCTTTCTACTGCAGAGCCTAAGGCTGTTCTTTGAGGCTGTCAGGCAGCCTGGGGAATATCAGGCAAAGGCTGGAAGGGGGCTTCTTGGGTCAGATGCTTTTAGCACCTCAGACTCCTGTGTAAACTTCAAAATAATGCCAACTCTGTTGTTTCTATCATCTGAGGAAAAAAAAATACTATAAAAAGACCAGAAACACTGTGGGTTTTTATACTTTTAATCAGGGAGTAAATGAAGTACTAGAAAATGTATAGGAGAAGAAAATCAAGCTGACATTCTAGAAATTTTTGAAATTTTATAGGAGAAAAATAGATACCTCATATACATCTCATGAAAAAAATTGAAAAAATGCAATAGGTTAAAGCATACAAATAAGCATGTATTAGTGAAATACAAATACTGTACCTAAGCCATATAAGGAGTTGAGTTGTTCTTTGTAGTCTAGTCCTGTTATTTTGTCATTAGTTCTTAGAGAAATTGGCCATTTCATACCATATCTCTTGTATCAGAGTTATGTGTAATAAATTAAACTTACTTATTAAAAATAGTGAAGTTACAGTCATTGTATTCCAATATCTAATAAATGTATGTCTTTTCCATAGTGGCTAGTAATGTATTTTTATTTCTTCATTTTTTCCAGGGAAGCCACAAAAGCAGGCATCCCATCAAAACACACGGAGCTCAGAATCACAGACACCTATTATATGAGCGTTGGGCACGGTGGGGAATGTGGTACAAATACCAACCTCTGGATTTAATCAGGTATAAATACTTTGAAGCTTGTTTCTGTGATATGAACAGCATGATAGCAGTGTATTAAAACCATACTGTTGAAATCCTTGTCCTTGTGCTTTACTGTGAAATTTTGCTATTCAGTATTATAAGTTAAGACTCAAATTCTGTGAACTGCTTCTTTTGGCTTGTCTTTTGTGCAGGCCTGTTACTTTCAAATGAGGCTGCATAAAGGTACATGAATCCACTTGCATGACAGCTTGAGGAATGAAACCTAAAGTACAGACCCTTGAAGTGGTCTGCTGATCAGCTACTTGCCCCTCAAGTGAGCACCTTTGAAATCAGTACGACTGTGAATAACTCTTACCTACATGGATAGTCAGGGTTACCAGATTCAGAGGAGGGGAAATGCAGCCTCCTATTGATACAGCTAACTCCTAACAAGACTTTATGTGGATTGAAATAAAATTCTGTTTCATAATTAATTTCATGGATTACCACCTCTAAAATGGAGAAATATGTATGATGGAAGCAACTGTGATGTATTTTCATATTTTCCTGATCTTGGACATGGAATACCAATATTTCATTTTCCCTGCTGTTGGGTTTTACACCTGATCTGACAGTTGTAACCAGTCATTATTCCCAAATAATATTCCACTAAAGGCTGTGTAGCTAAGAATGCGTGCTGGGATTCTGCTGATCAAATAGTAGCACCCATGACTTTCAATCACTGCCACTTCTTCTCTTCTGGCAAGTGATGTCCAAGTTATGAAGCATTAAGGCTGAATCTTCAACTTGTTTGTTTGATCTATTATTTTCTCTCATAATAGTTTGAAATATGTCATAATATATGATTATCCATCATAAATTATTTTTCATATGGAATATTTAGGTCATGTCAAATTATATCCCTTTCCAGAATTTTTTTGTTATATGTGTATGTATGTGTGTATTGGAATACAATTTCCTGCAGTTGAAAATTTCCTATGGTTGAAATCAGTGCATCTACTTGGTCATTGAAAGGGCATGAAAATTGCAGACCACTTCAGTTATATCTTTTCAGAATACCTGTTTTAGAGAGAGTGCGATTAGTATCACTAGAATATTATGTCAGCCTGAATTAAAACATATTGATGCAGGGCTGCTATCCAGACAATAATTTTAACATAAGCTTGTAGTCGTGGCTCACTTTTAGAATTATTCTACTACTATGAGGATAGATAGGGTCACTATAATTTTTACATTTAAACAATATATGTATTTTTGTTCCTCATGTAGGCGATATTTTGGTGAAAAAATTGGACTATATTTTGCGCCCTTGTTGGGCTGTTTTTTTTCCTTTATGGATTGTTTACGATGGATTCCAGCCAAGTAAGGTAAAATCCCATTTTAAAACATACAAAATCCTATTGAAAATTAAAAACACACTGGCACTACTTATGTAATTATACCTTTATATGCTTTCCAGATTTGATGATCATGTAATAATAACCATATGGAATACTCAGTTCTTCATTCAAGTGTATCCATTTTATGTATCTGCTTTGCGTCAAGCTAGATGCTTACCATTTACATCAAGCGCTCTTAACCACTGCGTCGGCAGTGATTGCCGTCCTGTCTATAAGGAAAACCAGCAGATACTAATTCAAATGTCGTATATGCTGCAATGGTTTTCATTCCAGTGAAGACTAATGGGTGAAGAAGTCAGACATTCTCCCTCTTTACACCCACCCTGCCTATAACTTTCAGAGTGTAGTACAGTTGCAGAACTTCTCATTTATGCAGTTTTACTTTGTTTGTGCTTTTTTGTATATGCAGTTTTTTCCTCCAAATGTAATGTTAATATCATCAAACTTAGAATCTGATAAAATTCTTCAATATGTTGATGTAAACTGCAACAAGGAGACATGAATTAAGGGAGATTATAACCGAGTGAAATGAACGTCATTTTCAAGTTTCCCACTGTTATGGTTTTGCTCTGAGAGGGGATTATGTCAATTTAGAAACAGTGGTGGTAATGGCGAATGTGGTAGAGTAAGGGCTGACTGTATTTTTAAGAACTATTTCAGAGAAAACACCTTTATTACAAAGTTTTGAGTTAGGTATCATCAGACCGAATAGTAACAGTGGTCTTAAAATTGCAACCTTGTTCAAAGTAGTTTGGATGCTTAGGCTGTTAGCATAATGAAGTTAGATTTCATCAGAAATGTTATTTTTTAGCCTTTGAGCAGGAATATTTTATCTTTGTTTATAGAATTGTCTTTATCTTGCATTTCACAGTAAGCTATTGTATTGTCATTTCTGTATTGCTGTAATTAAGGCTAGGCTTTTTTAGGCTTTCGATTATTCACCAAATTCTTGAGTGACTTTACAACTTCAAATTGTATTAAATGCACTAAAATATGATAGAAATATCAGCGAAGAAACTAGGCTACATTTATATTATTCTCTGTATTAGTATTGTTTTACAATATTAAGCAATAATATTCATTGTTTTACAATAAACGTATGCAATATACAATGGATGCAGATGTAAAGTACAGGATCAGCCTGTCCTCAGAGCAGTTATTAGCACCATTGAACAGGGAATCTTGTATTCTGCAGCTATACTATGGCACAGCTTCAACAACAGGGGAACAAAGGGCCGTAATCTACAATTATCAGGGTGCAGCTTAATATTTTAGACGTTCCTTGTGGAAGAAAAACAAGTGATATTGACACTCCCCTGCTCCCCAAGAGAAAGAACAGAATTTCTCAGAATTTAGATTTTTCAAAATTTGAGCTATTATATGTTTGCATGTGTGTCATGCTCCTCCCTTGAAGGAGAATATGACCCTTGCTTAGCTCTTTTAAAAGAGAGATGCAGTTATCTGCTTTCAGGAGAAAGTTTCAAGTGTAATTCTCAGGAGAGCAGAGGTAGGCTAGCTTTACATTTTCCTGTCTTCTGTTTTTCCTTTTGGCTGCTGTTGAGAGGCTGCACACAGAACATGCAAATTTTAGTTAGTTCTTTACGCAGGTGGGTTGTTTTGGGTCCCTTTCTGGGGCATCTCAGTGTCATGCTGTGTTATGCAGAGAGCTGGGGTGCCTACTGGGGACTCCGAAATCTGCTCCAGACCCCAGAGCATAAAAGTTAGGTGAGCCATTGTGTAATCTTTAGATACCTAATGGGAATGGGTGGAGAGTTATGTATCTGTTTATTGTAGCTAACGTTGACTAGTGTTAATTTTAACATATTTACAGAGGACCACTAGACTTGCACTAGACCATGTAGAAGGTCTACCCTGGCTGTGTACTTTATGAAGGTCGAAGGAAATCTGTAATTTGGATGTGATAATTTGGGGCAGAAGATCATCTCTGCCACTGAGGGTGTAAATCTATGGTTAGCCATGAGTTAACACAATACTGTCCTATTGGTGAATTGCTATGACCAAATAAATAAGACCCCCTGCTAAACATGGATTCAAGAACAGGATTTACCTAAACCAAGTTGATTGTGACTGGCTGGATAAAATGTATGCAAATCTTGCCTGTATTACCTTGTATACTTAACTAATTATAATGGATAGTGGTAAAAGATATAAAATATGCTTGCTTCATTGCCTTTCAGTTAAAGGAAACAGCTACATAAACATTAATAATAGTATTAAAATATATTATTTTTTGAGCGCTACAGCTGCCACAGTAGGCAAATGCATGTTCATCAGCAATCAGCAAGAAACTGAGCGAGGTATTTTATTCTGACCAAATCTAGACCCAGGAAAGCCAGTGGCAGTTAGGACTTTAGGATTAGTGTCCAGGCATCATGTCAATATCATAACTGTAATATTGCTCCAAATCCCTATTCAGTGTTACTCAGCACAATACTATTTCATGTGAAACTGAGGTTTTGTCCTATTAATGTCTGTTACTAGGGACCAGTGGATGGTAGGAAGTGTTGATCTGTAGTATGATAATAAATTCTGTGACGAAACCTGTTTTTCATCTGCCCTGTGTACCACAAATTTTGAACCTTACCAATTGATAAAATCCTTTTTACAGAAGTGTGCTTTTCTTGGTAATATCTGTTCACCTTTTAGCATTATGTAGCTGGATTTGGGCTAGCTAACATGAAGCCTACCTCTAGAGGCTGGAGAGAGAAAAATGACGATTTTATTCTTTTTTCACCAAGGTCCAGTGCACTTTCAGCACAGAACAAATAAGCAAATGCACAGCATATGTTGCCATAAAATATTAATTAAATGTTGATTATCAAACCAGCCATAGATTTTGTGAAGCAGTAATTATAGAGGGTTATGAAGAATGATGTTGCATTCAAGACTAGGTTGTCTTGTTTAAAAAGTTATATGATGCTCACCTCTGCTCCCAAGTCAGGGGCTGTTCTGCTACGCAGCGGCTCCATGAGAGCTCCCACTCCTGCACTCTGATTTCCTTGGGGTGGTGCCGCATGGTTCATTGCAGCTGCTGAGTCAAACTTCTGCTGCGCCCAGCTCACTGCTGACGTCTCACTGTGCGTTGATCCTCCAGTGCAGTTTTTCCTCACTCAGTGTGGAGTGAGGAAAAGCAGATCCGCAGTGATGAGTGAGGAGAGATTGCTCCTGTGGTGCAATTTATGTACTTCTCCTCTGTCTTCTGAGTGCTAGGGTTTTGGTGGTGATAGCAGCAGCTCAAAGTAGTCAGGCTGAGTGCTGGTGTCCAGCCCTGCGGGCACTGCCAGGCCATGTTGTCCCTGCTACTCTCTGGCCTCCCCACCCTGCCCAGGCCCCCATGCCAGCCTGGCCACAGGCCCCACCAATCCCAACCACAGACCAACTGCCAAGCCTGGCCCCATCATCTCAGTGCTGCCTAGCCATCCATGGGGCTGTGTCTGACCCGGTTACCCTCCCCAGGGCTGATCCCAACCCTGACCTGCAGGCTGACTTCCCAGCTTGATCTCAGACCTGCCTCATGACCATGAACTTGCCTGGTGATCTTGACTCTTGGTAGAACCTGGCCATGATCTCTGGGCCTGCCCTGCACCGTCACAGGAAGGTGGGACAGGCCCCAGCTCCAGGGAGCCACACAGCACCCTGGTGGATAGCTGCAAGGCTGTATAACAGAAGGGTCGGGTCATCTCTATAGTTCCTCCCTGGCTGGCAGCCCGTGAGCTGAAAATTGAACGTATGTGTTCCCTTTTGGTGCTACCCTTCCTTATTATCCAGAGCAAGTGCCTTCTCTTACACTGTATTTTGCCTCTTTTTCTCTCCCTTGCTTGGTTAAAGTTTTAGGAAAATAATGAACTTTCAAATCGGGTAGAATCACTTGATTCAAATTTATTATGCAGGAAGAAGGTGGTGTAATAAGACAGGCAGATAAAACCCTTCAAGCACGTTGTGCTATCAAGGAATATATACTATTCTAAGCAAACATGCATGTGTGTCCATATTTAGAAACAGAAGTTTCTCCATTCTGCATAGTTTGGGAGCAAAGCACTTTTCTGTCACAATGCAGATGCATAAGGCAGGCATGTTTTTTTGGAAACAGATTGGAATTGAGGATGTCCTTTTTCTTACATGAGCAATGGAGTTTGGAATAAAACTTTGTAGTACTGTGGTTGCCAGGATTCAGCACTGAGATCCCTGAGAGTTCTGTGATTATAGTGGTGGCAGCCGTTTTGAAGGTTCAGTTGTGAAATGAAGGTAATCAAACAAAAAATTTGAAGAATCTCTATTGAAGTTCATAGTAGCTTCCAGAATATTTAGATTGCGTTCTTAGGGCTCAGACATGCAGAAACAAAAACACAGATCATGCACCTGTTTCAAACGCTTCTAAATATATTTCTTGTTTCAAACGCTTCTAAATATATTTTGATCTATTTGCCCTTCCATAGCTAAACTGGGAAAAATGTAAAGTATTAGTCAAATGGAAAGGCTTTCAACAGTTCTCCAGAGTGCTTTTTGTTTGGGCTCTTTTATTTCAATGGTTTATGTGCCATATCTATTGTGTATCATTATACTGTCGAACTATTATATGTGGGATAGTCTATACAAAAATAACTCTGATGGTTCTAAAGAAGGTTGGTTTTGGTGGGTTTAATGGGTTTATACATATCACTAATTAACACTATTGTAATTTGTCCCTTTGTTGTCTGTGCTCCAGTGCCCAAAGATTTAAGGTTACTAACTTAATAGACTTGGGATTGGCCTTTTCATTCCAAACGCTCACTTTTAATTTATTTTGTTGAGTCTGTTTTGCGGTGTAGGCATAATGTTAACGAAGGCAGACCACAAAGAGCGCAGCCTGAGAAAATGTTAAGAATGCTAAAAGCCTTTTTATAACCTTTATTTTCCTGTCTTACTGCTAAAGCAAAGAGATCTGCGAGGCAAATGAAACCATCATGTGCCCTATGTGTGAGCGCAATTGCACGCTACAGAAACTCAATGAAAGCTGCATATATGCCAAGGTAATTATTAGCTTATTACTGTCAAGATACTTTCTATCTAAAAGTCCACTTTCATTGTATAATGGCTGCCCTTCTTTCAGCAAAGTTTGCTACATGTTTCTTTACAGAGTTTTCAGCCTTTGAAATTCGTACTACTAACAAGTATGACATCTCTGAAATGTTCAGAGATGGTTCTAAAGTTTACTTTAATATCTGTGAGTGTTTTCTTCCTAAATCCCTATTCTTTTTATCAATTTATAAAGTCCCCTGAGCGACGAAACTTTTCTTGGAAGTTATTTTCTACTTTCCCCTGTAATTGACTTCTTATTCCGTTTCGCTTGCATATTTGCAGATTGAATTTCTGCTCTTAAAGGAATTCTCTTGCATTACACAGGGTTATAATGTGCCTGTGATGTGCTTTGCTCTGTCAAGCTAATGCAAAGCTTTTACACAAATATTTTGCTACAGGAGGCTATCCTTCAAATATGAGTAAACATAAGTACTTCTGTATACATGTGGTGTTTTCAAGTGAGCACATTTATCAATATGTTTTGATGCATGTTATGTTCACAATGCTGGAAAACAATCTTGGCATTTTTCTTGGAATTCTTTAGCTCAGAAGAGAAATGCAAACTTCTGGGCAAGATTTGTAGAACGTTAATTGTCTCTGGGTCAAAGAGAGAAAATATATTAGATTTTGAAATTTGGCATAAAAAGGACTTTGAGTACAACTTGATATTTCTAAACTCTGAAGGAAAATTCAAAAAAATTACATTTGAGATTGATAAAAATGATTTATGTTTTAACTTAACAAATTTAACTTTTTATTTTATTTTATAATGCCAAATGAAAAAGTTATTTTGAAACAACTACAAATTGTCTGTTGAAACTGTTATTTTTAAGCAAAGCCCAGTTACTTATTTTCAAATATGGATATAACTTAATAGCAGAAAATTGCTCCGTGCATTCTTTTCATAATTTTTTTTAATGAATTTTGTAAGTTTTTACGATGTCTACTGAATCCCTTTCTTCATGGGAATAGTATTATGGAAGTGATACAGCCCATGCCAGAATCCTCTCTCTTTAGAGGCTGGCCAGTACCTCTTTAGCAGTCCACTGCAATCTGACAGGAAGTTAAAGGCATGCTACAGTCCCAAATGTATTAATTTTAGGTCCTGTTATTTTAACAGCTGCATTTGATAAGCAGCATTTATTTCTCACATTTACATTTGCACTGAGATCTTGTGGTTAAATCATGCAAACATCATTTTTAAATGTCATATTGTAAATAACAAATTGTAGCAGAAAAGGTGATGTTCCATCCAGCACGCATGCCACAGATTTTCAAACCAATCTCCTTGAATCAAAATCAGATGACAGCTAGGGAAGACAAGAAGTAATCACTCATCTTCCATCTTCACAAGTGTCATTTTCTGATGTCTGCAAAACCTGTGAACATTAATACAGGATCCCAGCTTTTCTACCAATGCTTTTGCTCTGAAAAACTGGTCAACCTCAGACTGGAACAGAGAAGACAAAAAATACTGGAACAGAGAAGACAAAAAATAGTTGTTCTCTTTTAGGATTTATCTGTTCTGGATCTCTACCAGTGGGTCTGTGTTCTGCATGCATGGGTAACGTGTGCTGCATGGATAAGAGCTGGTCTTGGAGGAGGAGAGAGAAACTCAGTCTTTGGGAAGGAGTATGATTGCCATCTGGCCGCTTGGATGGCAAAAAGCTGAATGGGGCTTTTTATAACTCTGAAGGGTATAACTGCAAAGTTGCCTGGTATTTGCCTGGTTGTCTCTGAAGAAAAGTTCACTGAGGTTTCACTCCTTATCCTTTTGCTAGGAAATGGCTGCTTTCCAGAAGGGGCTGTGATCCTGCTTGCTGGTGCTGCCGTGCTCCAAGAGTTGAGCAGCAAATATCCAATCATGAGTCAACAGCTCCACTTTGTCTGCACAGAAATTAGTGAATGAAAACAATCTGTTATGTTAGCAAACTGCCATCTGATTTCAAATCAAATATTCCTTTGTTCTTCTTGAAGCAGTGTTAATAACACAACTAAGTAGAAATAAAGTATTTGAAAGTAAGGCATCAAATCTGCTTTCCAGGAAAGGAAAATGGCATTTCCTGCTTGCTTTCTTGTTCCTCAGATGAAGCTTGTCAGAGTCCTCCTCAGGTTTTGTTGTTATTTCTCTGTCTTTCTCGTGCACAGCCAAAGAGCTGAAATGTAAGGGAAGCTATTCCTGATTCATTCCAGGCAGACACTCTTATTCTGGAATCAGTATTTTAATCTTTATTCATTACTTTGAAATAACTTACAGTATACAAGTCCACAAGCATTGAATTAATTAGGAAAAATAAGTTAGTAAGTTACTTTTAAGTGAAATTTCCCTCACTGGGCTTGCTTGTCATGGGACCTGCCTCATCTATATAGGGCCTCATGCTCATATTTTACTCTGTTAAAACTCTTGTCAAGGTTTTCCTGCATTTAATATCTGCCAGTTTTTCCTGTTTAAGAGCAGTTTGCATAGAAGAAGTAATAAAAAAAAAATAGTTCAAATATTTTTTCTGCCAAGTTTTTTGTAAAGCTGGAGGCAAAATATAGAGATGCCTTTTTCCTTTTTGTTACTGACCATTTCTTTCATCCCCTCCCTCCTTTTTTTCATCTCCATTTAAAATACCACACTGAAGTGAAGTTTATAATTTAAGGGAAAGGAATGTAATATCTGAATTGTGATCTGAATAACAGAATACCCAACTCATCATTCTTGTCCACATGAAGTGAACTCTTTAATCAGTATAAGTGATCAGCATGGGGCATTATGTCTCATTCAGTTAGTTCCACTCCCATCACACCTTGCCCTCGGGCAGAATGGGTAGAGCATTGTTTCAGAGTGGATTCAAAGTGCAGGATATCACGTATGATGGTAATACCAATCAGGTATGCTGACTGACTAGAACTGATTCTTAGAGTATTCCGCTACTACTTTGAGGCCTCTGGTCAATATTGGGTCTCAGTCTATTCAGTTAGCCTTTAAGCCATTCAGTTCATTCTTCTGAGTGTGATACTGAATAATAGGAGCCCAAACTCTGTATCTACAGATACAGTGCTAGATCTGGAGCAAGATACATATTTTGTACTTTTAGCAGCACTAAATCTGCTGGGTTGGATTTGTTCATTTGTTTTGGTTTGTTTTGTATTTCCTTGGAAAGATACACTCTTTACTGAGCAGATTATCCAAAAACACTTTTTCATACATACATACATTCAAAACTGAAATATTTATCAGGTTTATTCTGCTACTTTTGTTCACCAGTCACATTTTCAGTGAGATCATTAATAGGTCTCATATCTATTATGTTTGTGAGTTTTGTGCTTTATGAGAGCAATAGAAAAACAAAGGAAAGGACATATTTGTACATACGATTGATCCCATTATGTGATTTATATAGAGAGCACACTGGATTTGTCGATACCAAATATCAATTAGTAAATTCCCATTTTTTTCCAGTACCGTAAAGAATAAACCCAGACTTGCATGCAGATAAAAGGTACGGGTTGTTAGTATATTCTCTCAATATTAGAATTATTTAGCTTGAGAAGGAATGGAATTCTGAGGCAAGCAACAGTGTTTCTATTAACTTTTTCAAGAGTTAGTTCTCTTACCAAATACCCTTGGCTGCCTATTAATTTACTAGGCAGAAGCAATAATGACAGCTTTATCTAAAAGAATGAAAATCTCTCAGCAGAACTGGCTTTTGCTACAGAGGTCAGCCCCACTGACAAAGCACAGGGAAGCTATTATGCATTGTACTCTTGCTTGAGTGGGTTCAGTAATCTGCCTGAAGCAAGCTGTCATCCAGCTTGCCAACATCCTGTATCCGTTGAGAGACACCTTGCATAAAGAGCACTCCTGATGGCCAGAACACATTCGTGTATAAAGGAAGGTCACAATGCTACAAAACTTAATCTGATTACCTACTAAGCAAATTTTTTTCAAGTATATGACATACTATTCTTAGAAAATCACCATAAATTGTTTGGATAGGTTAGGATGATACATATCAAAAACATTTGTGTCACTTTCCCTTTTCTTTTTCTTGTGTCTTCAGATCCCCTTTTTAATATGTGCCCCTCGATAAGTTTTTCTGTTGGTTTGGTCTATTATCTCATAATGATTTATGCTTTTTTTCAGATGGGAATTTAAAGCCAGTGTTCTGCTAACTAATGCTCAGCAACATCTTAAACCACTTTTCATTCAAAGAAATTTAGACTCGTTATCCCTGGATAAATTACATCACTGTCAATTGCCAACCTTCAATCTATTGAAACTACATTGGTCTTAATTTCAGCTTCCTAAATACTCTTTCATATTATGACTTGCAAATAATAATTTCCAAATTTTTGTAATATAAATTGCAATGTTTTCTTAAAAGGTTGGACATCACATGGCCTACTCAGATGCTTAAAGCGATCCATAGGCATGTGAAAATTACTTATTACTTATTTTCTATTGGTAAGCCCTGGATTTTTCAGTAAGATATAGATTCTTCTCCCAAAAGGTCATAATGAAGAGTAAGAAAATGGATAAATCCAGCAAACAAGCTGGAGAGCATTCATGAGGTGAAATTAAGTGCACAATGTAGAATTACGCTTTGTTGGGGTTTATTTAAAATTTATATACCATTTGTGGGAGTTATAGGGCACTAGCCTTTTAAGAAGGAGAATATATCATTAGGAACAATTTAGAGGCTGAGATGGCTGGATAAAAAGGAATACATGCTATTCTTAGAGGCAGAGGAATTGCAGGATGGCTTGGGAAAAGAATAAAATGGCATGGAAAGAGATATTAATTATGCACAAAGGAACAGAAGTGAAAAGGCAGAAGAGATTTAATATTCTGAAAACCTTAAAATAGAAAGTATTGAGCTTAAATTTGAAATGGAATATGAGTGGGACTCTGGAGGAGTTTCTAAACTCTCTGAACATGGCCAGAGCAGTTCTGAGTATTTGTGAAGCAAATAGACAGAGATTTGTGAACTGACAGTCTTGAAAACCATAGCTGAAAATATAGTGACTGGAGAAACTGGAGAAATATTTTGGTAGAATAAACATGAGAGTAGGACTTCTTATTAGGATGCTTATCTTTTAATTTCTGCTACCTGTTACGTACTCTGGGATTCTGTGGAGCAAGGTGGCAGTATTATTTGTTCATGATGTATTTATTTTCTATTCAGGTTACACATTTGTTTGATAATGGAGGGACTGTCTTCTTTGCTATTTTCATGGCAATTTGGGGTAAGTCAATTTTTCTTCTGTGATTTTTTTTTTTTTTTTTTAGTTCGTCTGTCCCTTCTATATGATTACTAAGGTTAGGGAGATTATATTTTTTAATAAAATTTAAAGAAAGATTATGATTTCATCACACATGCACTTTCTAGTTTTCATCAGCTTTAATTTCTATACTAGTAGTAGATTAAAAGCATATTTTTTATTCTTAATGCAATGACTTTAATGTCTTTAAGCCTGAGTTGTATATCATGCAGGCAGAAGTCTTTTTAGAGGCAAACACGTGGGATAGTGTACTGGTCTGGAGACAATATAGAAATCAGAGTGTAGAGAGTTGTAATAGAATAAATGAGAATACTTTCATGGAAGCTAATTAGAGGGAAATAAACCTCCTATTTGATGTTAAATTTAACCATTTAACCAATTTAACCAATTTAACTATTTATATTCAAGGTCTTTAGTCTGCGTATCTCATTATGTTCTCTCTGACATCACTCACATCATGCCATGGGGCACCAAGCGAACCAAGGTGCTATACGCAGAGGCCACTGTTGAACAGGAGTTACCAATAACAGTCTTTCCTTTCCAAGAAGGTCAAAGTAATAGTGCCACAGAAGACAGATGTAATGGTTTCAGCATGAAGTACCTGCTAGAATGAGCTTTCACTGAAGTTAATAATATTTTGCTACTAGAAAAAAGGGAAACTGATATTAAAAGAACAAGAAATAATTAATTTTGCTCATGTACACTTTTGCCTGTTTAAACCCTGAGAAAATAACACCATTTTCCATCCATAAAACTTTCAGTCTTTTCAAGCTAGGAATTTGCTTGAAATTCTATTTGTAAATAGAATTGAATGGTGCATAACAGCTTTATTTATATAACATGTATGAATAAACATTAATGATTTTAGCAGAAAGGAAAGTAAGAGGTGAACTAATGTCAAAAATTTTAGAGCCTGTCCTGGTAAAACAAGAAAGAAGAAATATACTTAAACCACTAAAGCACCAAACACATAAACGACATACACGCACGTGCACATATACCAAATGCACAATTAAACCATTAAAAGTTAAGACAATATAAACATAGCTGCAAGTCACACTTCAGTTACTTGCCTAAGTGCTATTTCTTCATTGGCTCCCGATCTTGCTGTTCTAGCCTTGCAATTACTATTAATTAGTCTCATAAAGTCCTAAAATACATTTCACTATTAGTTAAATGCTAACTGATGTAAACAACACTGCTAGCTTCTTAATATCCCATCATCTCTATCTGCAAGTTCTTCTTAGAGAGAACTCTTTATATTCTGAGCTAAGTCAAGGTACAAGTGTGAAGAAGAATTTTGCTTGTGTGATAGTGCCAATATTGTTATCAGGAAAGATAGCATAATACATGCTAAGGAAGCTGAAAGCTGAGCACTAAATTTTTCTCAATTTCAAGCAGCAGAGTGGTACTCTGTTGCCTAATACAGATGAATATGTCTCACATTTTCAGTCTGCTGTCCAATATGCTGAAAACTGTTAGAAATCAGGTTCTGCGTTTGGTTGGAAATCTGCTGATTTTATGGTAGACTCAACATAGGAATGCTAACAATACCCTTATGCACTCAATTCTGTATTCATTTAAATATTTTAAAATAAATATTCATTTTACTCATCTGCAGCATGATAAATGGCTGTCATTTTTTTCTCTCTCTGGTGTGTGTGCTTATGTATGCAATTTGATCATAAGGCTAATGAACCCTTATTGCAACATTCTCAGCCACTTATGGGTATAACTTCATCAACTTGATCCACACTAAGTGGAGACCCACACTTAAGTAAGGCATTTTAAGAGTAACAGTAACAAGCATGTATTCCATGTGAACAGCAATTTTCTCAGCACTTCGTTTTGTTTATTTGTGCCTTTACTGCTTTGCCTTTCTCATATTCTTTCTTTATATTTAGACATTTGTGGTAATTGCAAGCAGATGAACTGTACTATTATTTGCATTATATCATCATAACATTTACTTTTTAGCTGGATAAAACCAAAGCATGCTTTTTAGGATATTTATGTACATGGCAGAGATAATTCCCTTCCTTCCTTGCAGAGGTAAGTATTTCTTCTGTCTAACCTCTGCCAAAATCACTTGCATCGTTTCTACAAATCCAGGCTGCAACGCAGACAGCAGATCAGTTTGACAGAGAAATAAAAGCTTCAGCCTTCTATTTTCTCCTTCAGTAGTGATTCTAACCCTGTCATCATAGTCAAAGAGTCGCAGTTCATGTTACTCAGTAGTTTCGTTTTCCCCAGCAAACTTAAACCTGTGAATAATTCTGTACATCTTGTTCTCTCAAAAGGTAAAAATGTGGGGAGAGTAGTGCCCTCAGTCATTAATCAGATAGAAACGATATTTGAACAGAATAGTTTCTCATCAACGAAGTTAAGTTGGGGAAGGGGGGGGGTTGTCTTGGTGCTAAACTATTATCGCAATCCTAATCCAATTTTGGTTTGTTACAATGTCTATATTCTTGACCATTATCAAATGAAGTTACACAAGGGAGAATTTTACCTGTGTGCTGTTTGCCAGTACTGTTATTATTAAAGCAGGTTTAGTATCCTCCTAGGAAAACTGTAGGTTGAGTGTTTCATCACAAAGCAGAAGAGTGATGCGCTGCTACTGGGCACTGCCTATTACATATCAATGTATCTTGTGATTTTTTTGCTTGATGTCCAAAACCTCATTTCCGTAGTAATGGCTGTAAGGTAGCAGCTGTAAGATCATTTTGGAAAAATAAGAGCATATAGATAAGGAGTGAGTGTGTAACCTGAAGTACATATCATTCTGAGGGGTGGGGTGGTGTTATGTCATCCATTGCAATGCCTTCACTCAGGCATCCAGCATTGTCTTTCTCTGCCTTGTCTGCCGCACTGGTTTTGTCATAACACATGGCTCCAATGCTCACATCGTATGGTCCAAGTGAGTTGTCTAACTGGAGAGCTGAAAAGAATAATTTAATTATTGTCAATATATTGTGTGAATGATGCTTATCCCCATACTTTGGGTACCTCACAGTTTAGCAGACCCTTGCAACTAAACCCCATTATCCTCTTTCTCACATATGGAGGCCTGGGGTAGGAACAGATGAAGACCGTGATTCAGAATCTAATGATAGGTAACAAGTGCCTTCCCAATAACTCGCAAACAGTCCTTATTAGAGAGATGTTTATAGCAGAATGGTGCTAGGCTAATGCTTTACCCACAGGAGAATTTCTTCTGTTTTCAGGTAGGAGAGAGTAACTTTCTTGAGCTAAAAGCTTTGTTGCTCACATGGATTTCAAGGAAAAATGCAACTACAGGCTAAGACTGAAATGAATCTCTCCTAGATAATAAGTAACTTGTGCAAAACATTAAAGCGCTTATGATTTTCCTTATAGGCAGGTTTTATATGATTATATCCAGAACTACAAAAGAAAAAAATTCTGTAGATGAGCTGATCTTGTACAAGATTATTGTTCCCTATGCATTAATTTGCAAAATATCTGGATCCAAAATGTTCAGCTTCTCAGTTCTGCAAAAACTGGTCAGTCTTTTATCTCTGTAATGTGATAGATGACTATGGCACTTTAATACTTAATTTTTGTATATATTTTAGCATATCATGTTGGCTGCAAAAAAGTGACAGTCTTTTATAGTAAGTAACTGTTTTTGCTGTAGATGATATTCTAAAGTAGTTTCATTAATAGTTAGGATACTAATTAAGAACTGTGCGTGAACCATTTCTATTAAACTGGCAACATTTCTAAAAGAACAGATACAAAAACAGAAATTTAACTTGGTTATACTGTATATAAATAATCCATATCTGAAGTGTTTTATTATAATAGCTATGTTTGATGCAATATTTAATATAATTAATTATATTAATAATTAATACGATAATTAATATAATCTTAATCTTATTAAGATTAAGATTTAAAGATTAAAAAGCTTAATTTAGAGAGTAAAAAAGGAAGGTTGTTTGAAAGAAGAATTCAATGGAACTGAAGTGAGAAACACATTTAGTTAGTGATGTTTCTATTCAGACCCACAGCATTTTTTTTTCTTAAGTTATGGAAAAGAGAATTTGTGCTAGCTAGCTCCCATTTTATAATCCTGAGATAATATGGATACACAAGCACTTCTTGCCTATAAATCCTATAAAAATAGGATTTTATCCTATATTTTTAAGAGACTGACAAATCTTTAGATAGTGAAAGAGTTTTTAATTGCATACAAATTTCAGAGGGAAAGACAGGGGTTAGAGGTATGTCCTACTATCTGAAAGTAGGATTTATCTCTATGTATATATGACAAATGAAGGATTCTCTTTCTTTTTTCATGAACCTGCCTGAACTGCAGGCATGAACTGAAAATTATTGTATGTATAATATTCCATAAAGAAACGACCAGGAGACTTACGACTCCCTATCTGCCTCCTTTCAGAAGATGACTTACTTTTCACAATGTGAACTTTGTGTTCAGGGATCTTGCAATGCAGAGATGCAGAAAAAGGAGCAGTAAGTTGATTGGCTAAAGATGGCTATAAAGTTGGCATAGTAAAAAATGCCAAAACTATTTATGTACATGGGGACCTATGACAGCAGAAGAGACTGTCCATGCCAAGGCTGAAGATCTTTGATCTGCAGCGATGACATGCTGTTTTAATTTTTCTTTCCCATGTTTGTAAGTTATGGCAATGAATGTATTTTTTTTAAACCATTTTTGTCTCTGTTCCATGTACGTTTGTTGTTTTTCTTGCCCTGGAATCTAAGCTACTTCACACCCCTCCAAATAATTTATTGCTACCATTGTGATTAATTTGTGTCCTTAATGATACTTTTGAGAGCTGCATCCCAACAGAGCAGGCTGAGTGGCTCCTCTGAAAGTGAGGGGCAGAAAAGCACTCCTCATGCCAAAGCAGAACAAACGAGGGGACTAAAGGGGTTAAGAGCACATGTGACACCATCAACATGATAGCTTA